ATCACAGAAGTTCAGAGATAGGCTAAACATAGGCTGCACAGATTAATGTAATCAACAGAAGCAATGGTGAGTATTTTATACTCAGAAAAATAACATGAAAAGTAACGACCGTGAGGAAGATGCACACAGCTGAGAGCCTTGAGTTCAGATCATAAAAGGAGAAATCACTGAGTTCCCCAAGGATGTGGGATGGTGATGTTCCAGAAATGTTCATCTGGTCATAGAGATATACTGGCATCACACAATACTTACCAGTCCAGTGGTTGGGAAGTTCTTTCTGAAATTAAGATATTATGTGAGTAGAAACTTTACCAAGAAGATAGTAACAATAATGCAAAGAAGTTGATATGGGATGAATTACAAAAGGCAGATTTAATTAGTTGTTGAGACTCATTGTCTCAAATTTGTTTCAAAATTTGGGACTCAAATGTTTAAGTATAAAGGAAAAAAATGTCAATAAGGGCTTCAAATTTTAAGCCAGCAAAATTGAATGAAGAATGTGTGTCTTCATCCACAATAAGCTGCTGAACATAAGGGAAAAGGAAAATTGTAGAATATAAAAATCACTTTTGAGGAACCAATTTGCTCTATTTGAAATAACTGTTGAAATGGTGAACAAATAGTGATAGTCCCTAGGTATTTGTAAATATGTGTTTGAGCTTAGTGAAAATTTGCAGATGGAACACTCTCTTTGGCACCCAATGCTTTAAAAACAATGTTTAGAAATAATAGCTGAAACCTCAGAAATACAGAAAGAACATCAGTGAAGCAGAGACAATTTGGGGTACTGAGAAGTGGCAGAAAGAGAGAGAGAGAGAGACAGAGACAGAGACAGAGACAGAGAGACAGAGACAGAGACAGAGAGAGAGAGAAGAGCAACAACTGAACTCCAAAGTAGTGATTTCTTTAGCAGAGGGTATGGAGAGCCCTTCCTGGACCTCATCTCTATCCAGGAAGTTTACATTTGTAATCCCATGGAAAAGTTATTGGAATTGTAGTGAATAAATTCCAATCTAGCACTTCCAGTGCAACCCACAGTGAGAATAAAGACACTAAGACATATTTATAGTTATGGGGACCCAAGGGTTCCTAAATCTGGCCAGGATGAAGGTTAATCCAAATAAAGGGGCTTTGAGCCGAGGCCTAACCTGGATTTTACCAATTGATAAAGCAGACAGTGGCTTGAGGATGGATGACTGTGAGAATGATGGGAAGTACATGAGTACCCTAAGCTGGGCTCGGTAGAAGGCCTGAAAGCACCTCTGCAACATGCAGAGAAAGAATACGCAAAAAGACTAATCTGCGTAACACAATCTGCACCTAATGTTTTTGGGAGGATACTTCAGTTCTGAAATGTAAACTTTTCCTCCCTGAAAGGCACAGCCTCTTATTTGGAGGCTGGACTCCAGCTGACAGCCCTGAAGTGCTGACTGTACCCCACTGGCTCAACCAGGTTTTGGAGAGTCATGGGGGTGGGGAAATAGACTATGGCCTGGCTACAGTTATGCCTGGGTGCCTCAGCTACCCCTATTTACACTGCTTAAAGTCAACTGAAGGAAAAGGAAATGGCTTAGCCAGCTCTGTGCATATCAGTACATGGAGACAGGGCCGGGGTTTATCCAAAAGGGAGACAATTGCTCTTTTTGAAGGAGGTTTCCAGATGGTCCTCCACAAGAGAGGACCAATAGTGCAGATACTGAAGATCTTAAACAACTTGCAGACTAGCCAGTTGTCTATTCCAGGCTTCAAGGCACAATAAAATATTAAGGGAAATTTAGCTCTTTTGGAAAAAACCAGACATCTTTCATGGGGTAGGGGGTGAAATGGAAAGATTACAGTTTTGCAAAAAATGTAATAACAATCTGCCTTTGATATAATTTTTAGAGCTTTTGCTTTACTAATGGCTAAAAACTTAGAACCATGTCATACCCAAAAACTGACTTTTTAATAATAGATTTAGCCATAGTCATCTAAATTTCATTTACAAATGCAATAAATTGTAAAGGAAAGCATTAATGGACTATTCCTCCCAAATTTTCTTGACAGGAGTGAAAGAGATATTTTAAAAATGAATTCCACTTTTCTACCAAAGGACAATATAATCTGATTAACTTTTATATCCATCAGAAGCACAAGGCTTTTTGGACGTAGGTAGAGGTTTATGAACACAAAATTGAGGACAATTAGCACTCAAATTAATGTTACATGAGATTCAACATCTGGTAAGTGTGTTGTCATTTTGGGTCATAGACCACCTGCTAGGCTAGATGTTCATTCAACTGCAATTTGCTCTGCATATAAATGGAAGAAAAATGATACTTCAAATTCTTTTCTTCTAAATCTAATGGTATGTATCTTAGGGACCTCTCACATTTTAGTACATCACTTGTAAATCTAATAATAAATACTTAAAAGATAAAATGTATAAAATCAAAAGGAAAAGAAAATACTTATATTTTTACAGGCATTTTTACCTGTATTACTATTTGTCTCTTCTTCAACAAATATTCAGGGACAAGAAGAGGACAACCTCTTAAACTCTTCATGTTATCTATATAATAGAGTCCTCAAGCATCTGGCCTGATGGCAATAGTGCTACACCAGGAAACACTGAATCTCAAAACTGACTCACTTGCTTTTTCACACAATCCAGTGTTTGAATAAGTCAGGAGAACTGGGAAATGCTTATCTTATTAATACTTCACCAAAATAGTATTAGCTCAGAAACAGATGATATTTGTGATAATATTTTATAGATTTTAAAAGTAAAGAAACATTTTACATTTTTTAATCAAAACACAGAAATCACATTTTTGCATTGTTCACAGAAAGTAAGTCATCCTTTTTAAAAGATATTTTGTGAAGCACACACCAACTAAAGCATTTAATACTGAAATCTGAATCTTAAAGTGCCTAAAAATTACTCCATTTGAGAACTCTCAAACATTAGTTGTACTTTCTTGGATAAGAGAATATTCACCTTCTATTAATTTATGATTTCACATTTCTCATGGAAGGGCATATATACCAAGGACACAATTTCATAAATAATAAAGACACAGTTGTGGAACATCAAACTTACAGACCTCTATAGCAAGTTAAATATCAAATGGACTCTCCGTATGCTCCTGCTGGCTGTCACATAAACTCCCTGCTAAATTCAGTCAGCCTTGACTGCTTTGGTACAGTTGCTTTTCTGACTTTCAGTCCTGGTGACTATTAGCTCATTGTGTGTTCTTGGATATCTGTCATCTCTTGAAGCTTCAGTTTCACCACCAGTAAGGTGGGAATAATGGTATTGCATGCCCCCATTGTTGCTGAGTAAATATGATAATTCTGATAAAACATATGTGGCACAGAATGCAGATAAATATCAACTATCATTACCATTAAGTCAGGGCAACCTACTCCTAAGGGACTGAAGAAAGAGCAAAGGATGCTTCGTATGATTTTGTCCTGTGTTTAGATTTAAACAGTATTCTCTGGCAATTTAATTCTTTAAGTAGTTCCTATATATTTTCATTCTCTTTTTAAGAGACACATACTATGTACTCTAGCAAAGTCTACTTGAGAGCTTATTGCAGTGTTTTCTAAACTGTGCTTTGAAAAATTGGGAGTGAAGAGGCTTCAGGAGAGTCTGCAGGGATGGGAATGGGTGGTCGATGTCCCAGCCTCCAAATAGGGCAGCTCTACTTTACATCAGCCTTAAACATGAGATCTCTCAGCAAGTTTATGTTGTCCACATGTTTCACAGATAAAAAACAAAGATGGGGGCAGAAGTTGGATGAAAACACCCATCTATTACTTTTGAGAGAAATATTACAGATGAATAATGAAGGCTGTATCTTTCTGAATGATTACCATGAGTTTTGATTCTATATTAAAATTGACCTTTAAACAGATCATAATTCAAAGATGTTTGAAATTTCACCTTTTCCCTCTCCAACATTATTAATTAAACAGGTAGGGCTTATTAAATCTCTCTGTTCATCTTCCTTCATTTGAGAAGTCTTTTATAATAAAACAAGCCTTGTTGCTCAAAATGGAAATGAAGTAGGTGAACCTGACCTTCAGGATCCCACGGTTGACATTTGTTCCCACCCCAAAAGTAATGCAGAGCTGAGCAATTCCAAAGCAATGTGCACGGGGTAGACCCATCTGCGCATCAGATAGGTTGCTTGGGTGTAAATCCTGTTTTTCCCACTTTCAAGCTGTATTAAGCCAGTATTTTCTTCCTATGACCCTTAACTTCTTTCTCATAGAATGGGAGTCATAGCCCCACTCATAAAGACAGTCACACAAAACTCCTAGAACATTAGCAGGTAGAAAATAAATATTCAATAAACATAAACAACTTTTTTGATCATTAGGAGTGTTTGCTTCAGAAATATTTTTGTAGTGCTTGAATTATTTTGAAGTTTAATTACAGTAGTCAGTGCATTTATCACTTGAAATTTCTTTCACTAACTACAGGAACAATAATAACTAAATTAATTCACCTTGTACTTTAATTTCTCTTCCGTTTTATATAACAGTATTTCCTTATATTTTAATAACATAAAAATCAAATCCTCTCTAATAGAGGTACAGAGAAAATATTAAACCTGTAAACTGGTCCTATATGTCCATATTTTGAGGATGAAAAGTTGACCACAAAATGTAGTCATATTTTATCACTATGCTTTGTGTATGCATTAATTACCAAGGAAAATATAAACAGTAATATATGTCTGATATATTATCTATGTGGCTTTTTGATACACATAATTTTATTTTGTTCCTTTAATGTTTGTTTTTACCATTTTTCCAAGGACCATCCCTAAATTCTAGGGGTAGAAGTTCATGAATATAAGACTGTAAAGACTGTAATGGAGGTTCTAGCTTTTTTTCTTTTGTTTTGTACCAGGAACTGAATTCATGACCTCACACTTGCCAGACAGGTGGTGTGCTGCTGAGTTACACCCCCAACTATTCTTAGCTCTTTTTCTGTCATATTTCAGATCTTTATGCACTCCACGTGCTGCCTCAGACAGCAGAATGGTCACCCTTTCCTCCTCAACAATATCTCTTGACGCTTGGCTTCAAAAACAAAGAAGATGGAAAATTTTTGGAAAAATTATCAAGTAGGAAGCTACCAACATTTACAGGTAAGTCACTTGGATTTCTTACTGTGTTTCAGTACAAGTTACAAACTGTGCATTACTCATCAATTCTTATTATCAAGGGCTCCATGTACAGTAGGACCTATGCCACCAAAAATGTTTCGTTACAATTTACTCCTTCTAATCTTTGTGGGTTAGTCAACAATACCTAGAATCTTGATTCCCGGAAATCTTTTCCCCAAGATCACACACAATAAAGGAGAGCCCACTTCTTTGAATCCAATCGTCTCATTCCAGCTACCTCCATCAACCACTGCTTAATAGAGTGCACTTGAAGAATACAAGCAGTTTTCATCATCAGGTAGCAAATGTAAGCCACAATTATGCAACACAATTGTTATATGAAATAAGGTGCATGGCCAATAACAACTTTAATGTGGGTCCTCTAATGTTGTATTAATGTATTTTCTACTCTTTCTTATGTAACTAGATCTCCTGGGCTTAGCCATCCTGATGAGTGCTATAGTTCAATAGTATTCAGAAATTATAGCTGAAAATTTTAAAACATAAGAAAATACTTTCCTGGAGTTGAAGTCTAAAAATTAGGGGTTAATTCATGACCAGGGTGAATTCTTCCACCAGCTCTAACCACAAACTTAAGAACTGGTGTCTGACCTGTGCTGTATCCTCTGTATCCTCAGCTTTGAACTACATTCAAAATCAGTGGGATCTGCACACTTGAATGATACCTGAGAGGAACAAGACAAGCATCAGACACATTATGACAGCAGTTTTTTTCACAATTCAGGCACAACTCAGGCATACATGGCAGAGATGGGTGAATTGTATCACACTGTCTCTTCAATCTCTCAATCAAGAAACACAAAAAATGAGTAAATGACAGTTCCTAAAGGACAATGTCTCCTCTTCCTTTTTCATAAATCTTTTATTGTTGTATAGATGGTATAGGAATAGGACAAGTTTCTATACTACAGATTTCATATCTATTAATATTGAGATATCCTTGTATAGATTGCTAAAGAAAACATTTTTGAAATGGAAGTCTGCAAAAATGGTATAAAAGTGTATTGTTACAATTTCTAGATCATAAAACTCCCTTCCATCAGCTGACCAGAGAAGACAATGTGAGACACATGGAAACAATGGGGAAGCGAATCTTGCCAATCCTGGACTTTATTAGAGGCACCCAATTGAATGTAGGTAATATTAAAGAATTGTAGAAATTTGGAAACTTTGTAGCAGAAATATTATAGGTGTTGGATGGCTTTAGAAACATTCACAGAAAATCTCATTTGCAAAACCAAACAAATTTAGCTAATGCTTTATTCCTTTTGTATTCTAAAACATACCACAATGCCACACTTTGAAACTTCTAGTATTCATTAGACTAGTGTTCCTTTAAAGAGCTTTTTCTTCATGCCTTCCTGATATCTAATTCAAAGTTGCAGTGCACTTCTCATTTCCAATCAATAACAAAATTTTAGCAAGCACAATGTTTTCCCTATTTTGTTTACTGAGCATATAACCATCTCATTACCTACACAAAAATTCAAAGCTATTCAACCTAGTGTCTCTGCACTGATGAATTGCCTGCTACAATAAACATTGGCAATTGATCTTTGTGCAGCCTTAAGGTAAATTATCTAATCCCTTTCTATGATCCATGGAAAATATGCCTTTTCTATTTTTCAGTCTTAAAAGTCCAAAATACGACCTGAATAATGCAATGTTCTTTTACAGAATTTAAGCCATTGTACTGAAAGTACACAAAGAGAACTTCTCATTAACAGGCTATAAATGCTGCAGATTTCTCCTTCTTAATACTTTTCAAAAGGGTTGTATATTGAAAATTTTAAAGAATTTTCTTCTTATGGCTTTTGTATTACATCATTGATTTGATATTCTTACCTTATGAGGAGAACCAAGGGGGTCATCACAAACAGTTAGTTAACATCTGTTCAGCAGTTTATCTGCTCAATAACATTATTCAGCATTTCAGAAAAGCTATAAAATTCCTAACCTATCAGCATAATTTGTAACTCTATGCATTACAAACACAAAAGCACATTTTTACTACATTTTTCTGCCACACAGCTACACACACACATGCACACACACAAATATGTTCCAATTATCCTTCCCTTTATTTCTGTTAATTAGAAACTTATCTCCAAAAAGAAAAAAGAAAAAAAAAAGGAAATTCATCTTAGCTGGCTCAGGCTGCCATAACAAAATGGCATAGACTAACTGATTTAAATAACAGAAATTTATTTTTCCACAGTTCTGGAGACTAGATATCTACAATAAAGGTACCACCATGACTGGGTTCAGATAAGGTTTTCCTTGTTGCCGTTCAGATAGCTGCCTTCTTGCTGTGTCCCTACATGATGGGAAGACACAGTAAGGTCACTAGTTCCTTCATGAGAGTGACATCCATAATGTCATTAAATCCTAAATTCCTCCCAGAGACTTTATTTCCAAATAAATGAGAGGCACAAACATTCCGTCTAAATTCATTTCATGACCTAGGCTATAAATGTTGGGCCCTATTCTTCAATCCACCCTTTTTCACAACCTCCTCCCACCACATGCACACATGTGTGCCCTCACCAACCAGTCCATCCTAGTTAGAAATTTACCTGTCATTACTGTCATCATCAGGTCCTTGCAGCAGTGTAAGCTTTGCTAACAAGAAGCATCGCCATGAAGCCCTCGTTGGTCTCATCACTGAGTGGCTGTCCTGCCAGAGCCAGGTTGCTGAGTGTTGTGAATGTCCTCCTGTGCCTTGTCTCTTTGGGGCAATGCTTACTTCTCAAGAAACTGACTACATTTCCTGGCTCATATCTACTAATGTGAAAGTAGTAGGTTCAGCCAATTCAAGCATTATGTATTTTCTCCATGTTCATTCCTCTTTTCCTTCTCATTTCAAAGGGCATCCTAACCTCATGGAAATTTGTATATGTCTGTATCTTTGTGTGTCTACAAGAGAGATTAAAAACCATAATTAAAGAGATTATTAGTTCTAATTAACAACTCAGTCCTCTTTAGAATCAGTCTCTGTACACTTTGCTAACTGCAAGGAATTTCATCAACTTTCCCTTTTATGGGAAATAACATTTTTGGAGAGCTTATGTCTCAGTCTTAATGGAATTTACATAAGTGAGACTTAGGATTCCCAGGGACTATAAGTGTGTACAAATGTTGCCATTTTGGTTTCCTATTTTCCTAACCACAGCTTCGTAAGACAGGAGTGAACAAAACTGGAAGCCAAGGTAACCTAACTTAATGAAGCAAGTAATGTATTGGTAATTAGAAATTATTCCTACATGGTGGTGTCATATAAGATTCAAGCAATATTCGATAGTGATTTTAAGTTCCTCTTAGATGCATGCTTTTTCTTCCTTGTCAGATACTAAGTCATCTGCTTAAGTATGCAGGAACTGCACTGTCCCATTGTTATCCTGGTTTGTGTTACATGTCGATAGATCAAGCCTTTTGCTCAAGGTTGCACCCTGGGTGTTTAACCATAGGGCAAGTTTCTGGCAGCTGAGCTATTTTCTTCTCTTAGGCTGGCATTTGCCAGTTTCACCTCATAGAATTTTAAGGCCAAGTGTACATAACTCATGTTGAAACATTTTAGAAGTGTTTTAGAAGCATCAATTATTTGCATTTGTTTTGACCAAAAGAATATTTTCCAGATCTTTCATTCTTTTTCTTTATATATGCTACATATTTTGAAATTACACATTCTCTTTCTAACATGGAGACAGTGCTAGTATCCTATGGATTTCAAATTCTTTTCCTCAGTTCATATTCCTCAGATCACCTATTTCCTCAGATCCCCTCACACAGGCAGGCTAAGTCCTCTGCAGCTACGGATTAGATCTACTGTACACAGTGGGGCTAGATCTGCACTGCAGCCTCTCTACTTCAGGCTTTAACCATGGGCTCCTCAGCTTCACATGTCTTCTAAGACACATCCACTAGAAGACAATGACCCATGCCTAGGGCAATAGATTCACTCTGAAGAATTTCAGATTTTTCAGTTACCTTTCATATTAGTGACTGAGGCATGATTTTCCTTGTTCACTAAGGGGAAGAATCATTCATCTGGAACATCAACACTTTCATCCAGGCCTAATAGCTAAGAAATATATTTTGTGTCTTATATGTCCAGAGATTTTTTAATTCATTGACAGTGCTCCTTAGTGGCTCTGGAATGTGAACATACAGTGCATTACAACTTTGGCATTTATAAACTGCAGGGAACCCAAAAGATAATGCTAGTCCTTGGCACATGCTCTGACCAGAATTACTTATACAATTTAAAGTATCACCACATTGATATTGTCACATAAGTGATGATAAATACATAGATTTCTAAATAATACTTAGGCAATATCAAGAATTCTCATGATCTATTCCCTAAACATATTGAATATTTAATCACCTTATAAATATTTAGTTTATATCTACCTAAATAACATCAGCCTAGCATCTTTAATTAGGAACATAGTTAACCTGGTAAAACGCTAAATTTTAATACCATAAGGAATCTTTCTTTGGTTGCCCAGATTTTCCATTTCCCTCCATTGAAGTAAAGGATTATGTTATCTACAGGATGCGTATAAAACTATATAATAGCAAGGCTTTTCCGGGAAGATGGCGGAACAGTAAGCAGCAGAGGAAACAGCCTCTCAGAGAACCGTCCCAATGCTGGGTTACAGCATTGGGGGGACGATGAGAAGGAAGGAAGTGGGTGCCCTGGACCCAGGAAGACTCTAGAATGCAAGTTGAGGCCCACAGACAGAGTGGAAAAAGACAAACTTAAACATAAAAGAAGGTGGTAGCTGACAGTGCCTTCACCGGCGCTGGACTTGCTGTGTGAGAAAAGCTCTTGGAATCTGGGGACACAGGGTCACAGTGACGGTGGTGGCTGGTGAGCCGGGAGGCCTCTGCAAAAAGACATCGTGGTGGAGGGGAGCAGTAGATGCAGAAGACTGCACTCTTGTGGTAAGTGCAGAGGGCTCAGTCCCTCTGCAGGAAAGAATGATTGGGCAGGGCCTTCTTGGAGCAGACCTATGGAAACTGCTCAGACTGAGCGCCACCCCGACACGCATTCTAGCAGCCATTGCTGAGGTTCCCCACCTGCTAACCAGCTCATCCTGGAGGCAGCAGCCTGCCCCACCCCTGCACCCACTGCAAGGGCCATGGTGGGGGCTCCCTACTGGTAACTGGCTTGGTCCAGAGGCGGTAGCTGACCGCAGCCTCCCATGCACACTCTGGTAGCCATCACTGAAGGTCCTCACCAGTAACCAGCTGGGAGTCAACAGCCATCCCTGCCTCTGTCTGCACTCAACCAGCCATTGGTGAGCCAAAGCATTATGGGAAAAGCAGCAAACAGCCCTACACCTGCGTACCCAATGGTCACCATCAGAGACCGGTAGGCAGCACGGGCTAGAAGAACCAGTCTCACTTCAGAGAAATTTGTAGCTAGAGTGGAAAGTGCCTGAGACTCCACTGCCCACTTGTCTGGAAGAACCCAGGATATGTAAAGATTAAGAAGCAAAAGGCAGACTCTGGCCTCCATCTCAAGCAGAAGTGGCCCAGGAGATACAAACACGGGAAAGATCATGAGTCAAACACCTGAAGTTTCTGAAGTGACGGCAAATGAAGTGAAGAAACAACTTACGGGGCTTTAAAATAAATTAGAACAGAAATACTATCCCATGTACTCAAGATTTAGAATACATGAAACAGATTCACAGAGAAATCTAGGAAATTAAAAAAACTCCATTGAAAGCTAGCAAGACCACCTGAAAGAAACTAAAGATAGACTTTCAGACCTTGAAGACAGGGTTTCAGCTTGTGATTGTGAAAGGACCTCTTAAAAATAACAAGGAACCAGCAAGTAACAATTCAACAGCTGCAAGACAACCAAAAGAAAAATAACTTAAAAATAATAGATGTGGATGAAAAAGCAGAGATCAACACAAATGACATTAAAAGTCTATTTACAGAAATAATATCGAAAAACTTCCCAAGCATAGGAAAAGGAAGTGACACTCAGATATCAGATGAATGAGGCACATAGAACTCCAGCTAGCCATAACCAAAGTAAATCTACACCCAGACATATAATAATCGAGATCCCAGAAATTCAACTCAAGAACAGATTATTAAAAGCTGTTAGAGA